ATCATTCAGTATAATGACAGAATATTTCAGGAGTGATGCTTAAAGTTAAACAGATGATGTATTATTATACATGGGACCCTGCTTTGTGATGGTCCATCTCCACTAAAATTCGAATAACATGAGTGGCTATCAGCTGAGTGTGAAATCACTCACACACTAACAAACTGCTGACTTTGCCAAAATACTGCAAATGGAATCTCCTTAGAGACTACAGACAGAGGAGCTCAGACAAAAGATGGAAGAGAAGAACCAGGCTAGCAGGTATAAGAAGAACACTCAGGGGAATGCCAGTGGCCATCACAGAGATGATCTGGACAGAGTGAATCTTGTCACCTACCTCGAGGCATCTCTGATTCTATGCACCTCTGTGAGTCTACAAAGCTTTCAGAGTACATGGAAGACTGACACAGTCGCAAGAGCTGTTGTTTACACAAACAGCCCCATGGTATTAAGGTCCATATGCTTTTTATATGGTACTTTATTTCTTTTTTTTGCATCTACATTTTAAAAAATCATGAATCTCATTATAGGCAAACTAGTAAGACCTCAGGGTAAAAGTAACTAGTGAAAGACTTTCTACACATACCCAAATAATGAATCATGTCATGTCTAGTAACTCACAATTCCTTCTCTGTGTATAGGAATCTTTCTTTTATAGGAAGACTAAGAACTGTGCTTGCTTTAGCAGCACATATACTAGGAAGACTAAGAAAATGGCCATGACACAGACAAGCTGGTCTCTGAGAGGAGGGAAAGAACAAAAAACAGGAAAATTGATATTTGATAATATATGGTCATTCTATTTAATTGTATTACACATATTAAATATGAGTTAATTACATTCAGTCATTAGGCAGAGTCACAATCTAAGACAACAAAGTTTCCATACTTTCATTTCAGCAAGCACCCAAGACCACTGAGAATGTCATGCCTATTTTTAGAACTGCATACCTCAGGCATTACTGTCAGCCTCATGCTACTGGGACCATAGGAAAAGGTGATTTCTTCCAGAAATTCTCCAGAAAGCAGCTCTGTTTTCATTAGCAGAATTCCAGGTCAGTATGGATTTCAATCCACCATGGTGACTGCCAACTCTGTTGCTCTTTTGCATTTTAAAAATAAACTCTATATTGAAACTTTAAAACATATTTTTTTGCCAGGTGAATCAAATGAACTCAAGTAAACCAAAGACCTCTCTTTGCATGCTCTCTGATATGGTTGGTGATACAAGGTAGAGCATATGCATGGTGTGGTAATATTGAAGGATTTGGAACGCAAGAGTGGTAAAAATTTGGAATGATGATGAAGACATCAAAAGTATCATGGGGAAAGACACAGTATTGAGAGAAGTGATGTTAAGAAAGGGAAACAAGCAGAGAAGATGATTAGAAATGATTGCTGCTTCTTGGTAGGAAACCCTCAGCCGGGAACAAGGCAATCACAGATGGGAGGGCCAGCCAGCAAAGCTGGAGGAAGCTGATCAGAAGAAAGCCTGCTTTTGCCCCAAGATCACCCTTCATCTTGGCTAGTTGTTCTCTCCTTGCCCAGAGAGATCAACCTTCTACTTCATGCTCTTCTCTCTACTAAAGAGTGTCACACGAATCCGTGGAAACAGCTATTTCCCACAACCACAATTTGTGCAGATGGAGAACAACAGCAACAACCACAACAAAAACTGGTACTATTTTTCAGAAGATAGTTCTCCTAAAGCAAGTTCCTAAAGTTCGGGAACTTATATTCAAAGGTGACCTAAGTTTATTTTTGTCATGACCCTTCAAGAAGAAAAAAATGTTTTCTCAATACTTATGCAATGGCACCCTCTGACATCTAGTGAAATGACAGCAGGAGACAGGACGAGAAGAAAGCTTCCTCCCTCTCAAACACAGGCTGCATATCAATCTTATTTCCTCTACACTCACAGTTAATAGTCAGAGCAAGGACCCGCTTTGCTATTACAGAAACAGCTCAATTTCAATGACTAGCCCAGCCAAGGATTCTGACATAAAGTCAATAAGAGAAAGGTGATAGAAGTTCTGATTATCTTTACATATATTATCTCTTAATTTAGTTGAGTAATCTTCACAAATTTTTCCACCTATGTGCCAATAATGCTGGGGATTCAACAGAGGAAACAAACAATAAAAAGAAAATGTCTTCGTATTCTTATTTTTATTAAGGATATATGCTTATTTGTATTCCTCTGTACAACATATCACTTCATTGTGTAAGCTTTTACTACAAATCAACAATTAAAATTTACTTCAAGAGCATGCATCACAACTGCTTTGTGATTATATATAACTCTGGAAGCATGTCCACATAGTTCTATACCAATGGTCTTAGACCAGTTTAAATAATCTATTTTTTTCATAGTCAGCCACCATTCAAATAGTGGTACTATATCAATTCTCTGATACTCGGCATAAAGTTTTCTTAGCCTGCTAGATGTTATCATGGGAACTTAACAATGATATCCAAAATATAACCTTGACTCTTTATCTAATTATTCAATTAAATTAATTTATAGTCTTTCTATTCTATGGTCAAGAACAGGAACATATTTGTTGACATATTTTTCTCTGAGGGCTACTTTTGATGACTATGAATAGGAAATATTTTATCAGCATTAGAAAACCTGCTGTCATCTACATCATTTTCTCCCCAGGAGAGAGAACTCTGGAGCTGGACTTACAATTATTTCCAATGGTTAAAAACATGGAATACATGGAATTGAATCCTGGAGAAAGTGTGGATAGAGCATCAAAAGGAAGTACTGACATCCTAATCAAATAACTTCCCCAGATTTCTGAAAGCAGAAGATGCTAGACACAGCTTTCTACCATGCTGTTTCCCTTTTATCTCCTCTGCAAACCAGTGTAAAAGGAAAGAATGAGTTTTCAATAGAAATACTGCACATTTTTTAAAGAATAAAATACAAATGACTCTACATTATAGGATTCCATTTAGGTACAATATCCAGAAAAGGAAAATTTGTGGAAACAAAGCACAACAGTAGTTGCCTGGGTTAAAGGTAAAAGCAGAGATTGACTGCAAATGGACATGAGGGAAATGTGAGGGGTTACAGCATTGCTCTAAAATGTGATCGATCATGGTGATGTTTGGGCAACTCTATGCATTTAATTAAAATCACTGAATTATAGGGCCAGGGATTTAGCTCATTGGCTCCGCCTCCAGCCTTGCAAGCGAAATGGACCTGAGTTTGATCCCCAGTACCAACAAATAAATAAATAAAAATAAATAGTGGTGAAATGCATGTATATAAATTTTTTAAAAATCACTGAATTATAGGTTTCTGATGGGTGAGTCTTATGGTAGGGAAATTATACTTCAATTAAACTGCTGTAGGAACAAAAAAACCCAGAAAACTCCAGGCTTTTGAGAGTAAGGATGTTTCAATTAAGCTTTTAATGATCTAAATATCATGATAAATGTGGGCTAATGAAACATACTTAAATAGCAATATAGGACACTGCTTAAAAGAACTGAAAGAAATGGCAAGATATGCATATAGAATTATAGGAAATAGTTGTTTATATAGATTTTCTCTAAAATTATCCTATGGAAGTCCAAAAAGAATAGAAGTGTTCTTTATTATCTACCCCCAAGAAAGAAGGTTGAACTAGCATCTGTACAAGATCTAGTGAGATGGAATTAACAAGTAAATACAACGTATCAGTTGGACTATTTTCTTTTGTTTGTCTGTTCTTGTTCCTACAGAAAGATTCTAGCAAGGAAAGAACCAAAAAAATGATGAGATCATAGTGAGAATTATGTATGCCAGATGCTGACCTAATCCAATTTTCTCTATGTACACAGGAAGACTACATTTCCCAGCTTTCTTTGCATTTAAGATGGTGTCATGTCTCGCAAATAAATATGGGCCGAGGTGATGTATGTCACATCCAGGCAAGGCAGTGAATCATCCTTCACGTCCATCAAGATATTTTCTCTGAGGTAATACCAGTAAAGATCTCCAAGGCAACTGACCTATCTCACAGAAGGCACCTAGATCCCCAAATTACTTCCTTGAAGGGAGCTATTTGGTAAATCTTCCCAGTTGACATTAAACTTTGCATGAAGAAGAAAATATATTTTTCTTTTGTTTGACTCACTGAAATTTTAGGATAGTTTGCTACAGAAGTTAGTATTGTTTAGTCTAACTGATATGCTATAGCACTGAAAGCATACCGTTTTCCTTTCCTTTTTTCATCATCTACACCTATTCCTTCCATCATCCTTATTTTTCCTATTTATCTTCTTCTTTCCCTTCCTCACTAACTCCAGTTAATATTCACTTCTAAAGCAGAGAAAGAAATATGTGAGTTGTTCTCAGCCTGTCTCTTAGGAAGATCCTTCTTTAAGAACTAGGAAATCTGAATGGTCTAAGGGGAGAATGTGGCCTGCAATCTCTTCATCAGTAGAGGTACAGTGTGTCTCAAGTCTTTGATTAAAAGGTTATATCATCATCAAAAACAATGCTTTGTCTACCCTTCGAAAAGTCCCCTATGGCCATAATTGCCAGAAAAGAAATTTCAGAGTTGGCAGCCACCTCTGGGTCATGAACTTTGCTTTTATCCTCTGCCACTTTTGGAAGTGAAGAAGTGCATGTTGGTTGCTCTAAAGCTTTTTGTTCACTCTAGGGTTACTTCCCAAAGACAACACATTACCATTTCATTCACTTTCAAGTTATTTCATTATTCACATGCCCTCTCCTCCTTTTCTGCATAAAAAAGAAATGGCAGGAAAGAAGAGAGGACCTGCACTAATTCAGGATACACAACCCAAGCCATGCTCAGCCCCACACCATCAGCCCAGCCCTCCATCCTGCCAACCCCAGTACCCACCCCCCATCCACTGTAAAAAAAATAAAATAATTCAAATTAAAAAACAGCTCATAAAACAGTAAACAAAATAAAGTCAGTTTTTCTTTTTTTTTTTTTTTTTTTTAAGAACAAAATGAAACTTGAGGGAAAACTTACTGGAGTTACAGTTTATCCTGATACAGTCTAGATGGGGAAAAATAAATGAAAGATGAAATTGCATCCTTCAAGGTAACAGCTGCAGACATCCAAAAACAATCAGTCCACCCTTCCGGGGACAGACACACGCAAGAAATGTGGCCATTTTATATGTATATATATATATATATATGTATATGTATATATACATATACATATATATATATACAGCATGTACAAGTTTAAAGGTGGGTGTATATGTACAGTATATTATTTAGTAAAGTTGGATACATATATATATACACACACACACACATATATATATACACATATGTATAGAGATATATACTGGTATACATATATATCCACAATAGACACGAAGCACGTTTCTTTTTTTCCCCAAAAAAACCTATTCATTTTTATGAAGTATTTCAAATCTAGACTTTGAAATATTAATTTTGTTAAACTTGAAAAATTAGGAAAAAATTCCCCCAAATGCAAATTATATTTCCCCCTACATTCATTTTATTAAAATTTATCTTTAGAAATAGCATCAACACAATCAGTACTTCAAAGATTTATCACATCTGATACCTTATATCAATTTAAAACAATATGTCCTCGAAGTTTCTTAGTGTAGTATTTAACCCTTTCTTTTTCTCTAACAAACTCCCTCCACCCTCTCCTTAGGTTGAGCCCCAAACGTTATTGAAATTTGCAAATTTGCCATCACCCATGGAGGTAAGGAAAGGGTTAACACCACCTGATCATTTCCTGTCATAAAATGGCCACTTGCAAACAGCTAACCGCACGAACACCCATCCCAGATTTTAGAGAGGTGGGGTCACTGGGTGTAGGGCAAAGGAATTGTAGAATGTTGTGACAGTTGATTGGCTTTTCTGACTGCAGTTGTTTCAAAGGCTTCCAGACCTACCCACTCACAAGCCCATCTCTGTCTTCCTCCCTGAATGCCAGACAGAATTAGGTGCCCACGGCATTCAGAGAGAAGGCAGGGCAAGCACATGTTGGGAAGGTCGTGGGCACCTTTGACATCCTGCCTGTTTTACTCTGTAATTCTTCATCTCAAAGCGAGAAAATTCTTTGGTTTTGGTTTTATTTTTCAAATGGAAGAAACATCTAATTGCCCAGTTTTGATAACCAGACGAGGTGTTCTATGCCACAGATTTAAGTATCTATGGTTTTATTCATTTGTATTTGAGAACCACAGCCACACACCACAAAAATTCCGGAACAGAGTCAGTGGGAGTTTTTAGGGGATTGGGCAGAAATGGTTCTCAGTTAATTGTAACCAACCTGTTTATTTGAGCATAAGGTTGGTTTATGATGGTGGGGATTCCAATAGAAATTTGGGTACAGTCAGACATTTAAAAAGTAGAAGTCAAATGATAGAGGAAAGGAAGAATAGTATAAAGAAAAATCCAGTTACAGACTATATTGCTCTTCTGCTTAAAGCTGGCCCAACAGTTTTAGAGAATTAGTGGAGGATTATGCCACCATATGTATTTCACAAAGTAGATCGCTTTAAGTGAGCAAATGAAAAAGAAACCATTGGCAACCAACAAGGCAGAATGAAACTATGTGAAGTCCAGACAGGAGCAATTTGTAGCACCCAATCATTCTGAGGAAGGGGGCAAGCAGCTTATTTGTTCCCCAGAAGAAACATCTCTTGAGAAAAATCTGGGTTCAGTTTCGTGCGGTTAGGTTTGTCATGTGTCGTCAACCGCAACAGAAAAGTGGGAGCAAACAGCCCTGGAGCAACTGGTACGATCACCAGACAGAGGAGGCCATGCCCCTGGGAGGACAGAGACAGAAGAGGGGAGGTAGGGAGGAGGAGGACAGTGTTCAGGTATTGGCTGTACCTACCATCATTCAAAACTAGAGAAATGCCCCTTCCTGTTTTATGAAAGAGAAAGGGGAAATGTATAAGCATGTTCAGGAGATAGGCCAAAAGAGTGAGCCTAAAGACACAAACTCAAGGACTGCCAACAAGGAGAGGTTTTCTTTGGTTTCTGTATTAGACAAGAATCTGGTGTAGGGAAAGGTGCTAGTTTGAGCTCATCCTTCTGGAATAGTCAAATGGTTCCATGTGACTGAATGGTACCCTTGAGAGAATGTGAATACCCAGGGCTTTCAAGATGGCAGAGAATATGTTTGAGTCAAGATGTGAAGAATTATTTTGTTACTGTACCTGAAATAAATGGTTCTAGAGAAAAAGCTACCCTAGTCTCTTCTTCAGAAACTGTAAGGAGTGGTCTTGTATTGAAGATATGTATTCTAATTAAAAAATGAACCAAAAAATTGATTTGAGGTCATTTCCTGAAGATGTCTCTTCAGGAGCAGCCAGAGCTTTCTCTGCCTGATTTAAAAAAAAACAAAAATCTGCCTGAACTTTGGCATACCTTTTAATGTCTCTCATTCTCTCTCTCTTTCTCTCTCTCTCTCTCTCTCTCTCTCTCTCTCTCTCTCTCTCTCATCTGGTTTTATTTGGGGTTCTTTTTGTTTTATTTCAATAAATAAGGAGAGATGGCTATTTTCCATATTAGTAAGTTTTGGGCTGAACACTGAAGAGATGTCTCTAAAACTTGTATGCTTTCAATAATACATAAACACAGCCAACAAGTCCAGACAGGGAAGATCCACTGAATTCAAATATAATTAACCAAACTGCAGAACTCTGCTTCAGAGTTTCCACAAGGGAAGAAGTGACCCCAGTATTCTGTTAGGATTCTGCAAGCTTCATCCCACATTAACTGACTTTTTCGTAGGGCGGCTCAGTTCAAACTGAGCATGAAGATTCCAACTATGCATCTTTTTTAAAAAAGATGCACACCACTGATCCACAGTACACATCTGCAGAGGTAACTGATAATTCATGTAGCTCTAGCAGGTTAGGGACATGGAGTCTCATCTTGCCTTTGCTACTTACAATATAAGCTTTGAAGGCTATATATTTTTCTTTGTTTCACATCTGAAAATAGTAAGCACAAAAACACTTTCATTTCTTACAAAATTGTTGTGAGATTAAAATACATGAAGTCTTTAAATCTTTAAATGTGCTGTAATAACAAAATACTGTTATATCTTTTAGTCCTCAGGGAGCAAAATATGGTTGATCAATAGCTGAACTCACAACTTTTAAAAACATGCCGCGTAATGCCAATGTTTCTAGCATCTGCTCCCTAGTATTCTTCTTGACATTTAACAGCTAGGTTAGAACAGACAGATATATACTAGGCTTTTCTATCATGAACTTAGATATGTAAGCTAAGTCAAATAAATCAAACTATCACTTGTAGTGTGCTATTAAAAAGATGCCACTTAAATGCAGTAAAAGAACAAAGTGATCATTTAAAGATTTGAAGGAATGCTTTTGGGTGCAAACTCTGCTTGGAGATGTTTTCGCCTTTAACCAAGACAAAAAGTAATGTGAATTTTTTGCAAAGAGAAAAAAATATTTCTGAAAGGGTTTATTTGGGTCGGGGTGGAAAAATATTTGAATAAGGCATGAACACAGAGAGTTGAACATATACAAGCACAAGGATTTTAAATTTAGTTTTTCACGTCAGGTTAAATAAGCTCAAACCAATGACTGTGATGAACAGTGCCCTTTAGGGGAAAAAGAAGTAACTATTGCTTTTGGAGGAGCACAGTCCTCTCTAAGGAGGGCCTAACTCTTTTGCGTAAGCTATTTTAATATAGGAGGAGTTAGATTGATGGTGTGCCAAAAGACAAAAATATATGTACCTATGAAAAGAATATATCCAGATTTTAGCTATAGTTTCAAATAGAAAAAGTGTGCTTCTAGGAATACACATATCTATGACTAACTTGGGTATTTGTGTTTGTGTGAGTGAACGTGAGAAGGAAGGAAAGGGGAAGGTGTAGGAGAGAAGGAGAGAGAGACAGAGAGAGAGAGGGAGAGAGAGAATATCATACTATCTCTCCTTTTGTTGTTTGTCTCCCTCTGCCCTTAGTTTTTTTCCTAAGCTGTGAGAACAGTCACAGTTGACTTTCTAATCTTTCAACAACAACATATAATATGGAAAAACAAATTCTGTTTGCAAACACAGTATGCACTCCTTCAGAGTCTCATGGGGCTGAATCAGCCTCATATGCATTTCTCCCTCTCATTTTCAAGTAGGTACAACAGTAAAAACTGTATTCAGGCCAGGGATTTGGCTCAGTGGTTCAGCCACCTGCCTCACAAGGGCCAGAGTTTGATCCCCCAGTACCCCCCCAAAAAATTATATTCATCTTCTTCCTTCTATGAATTAGGTGCGGGGTTGTGTCTGGCTTTTTGTTTTGTTTTATGATTTTGGCTATTTTGTTTTTTCTTCCTTCTGCTGTTTTTCAGAGAAGTGGGCACTTGGCTACTGGTTGTTGGCTTGAACAATATACACTTAATGGCAGTTTATTTGAGATGGGGAGGACGTAGGGAGGGCAGGTGGAGGGGCAGGGGTATGCCAGTCCCTGTCAGCTGCTCAGTACTCTCTGTTCTCAAGGCTGTTTGCTATGCGGGCCGCAGGCTTTGGGCCTTTGAAGGGTTGAATACCATCTTTTGATTTACCATGGTTGATGCTGGGAGGATTGTAAACTCAAAAACACACAAAAAAAAAAAAAAAAGTCCACCAAAAGAAAATAAACACATACATACACAAACAAGAGAAATCAAAGAGATGCACCAACAACAGAAACCAAATGAAGTTAGGCAAGAGAAGGGGCAAAATGTTATAAAAACTGCAAACTGGAAGGAAAAGAAAACACAACTAAACAAGTCACTGCTCAAAACAGTCCTTTGTGTCCTACAGATTTTAGAATTATAGTGTAGATATTTTGTAAGTGTGACCAGTTGATTTGACAGAGATAAGACTGGTATGGATTCAAAATACTCCCTTTCCACCAGCTAGGGCTTTGTATGTCTCATGTTTGATACCTTTGTCTACCATGTCTTCTCTGGACCTCTGAAAAGCTGTTCCAATAGAATGTGTATAAAAGGACTCCATAGCCAAATATCTTCTGCCTATCCAAATAAATCCATTAGCTGAGCATGTTTGGACCCAGCTATATCACTAATCCTGTCAGCACTGGACATTGACTTTCTGCTGAGTGGAAAACCAGAAATAACAATCGTTTGTTTCTTCCAAAAAACAATAGGCCACTATTCTCGATAGAATATTAATTCAAATCCCAGTAAACACAGTCAGTTGGTGGGAGAGGACGCAAGGCCCTAGGAGGAGAATTTCCAGAGTATCCATTTTAAATAGCTGCAGGGAAAGAGCAGATCCACTTCCGACAAAGTGACAAATTCGAAGCTGTTATGTTTTTCAAATCTAAAAAAACATATGTGCATTCTATGAGGAGTTCAGTGACTGCTAACAGTGTGAGGGAACAACTGTCACAGAAAGGGCTGTGGAGATGTAGGTGAACATGTCAGGAAGGAAAGAGTAATACTTGCCGGAGGCATGTTTTCCTTCCATACATCACAGACTGTAAAAGCAGGAAGTTATTTTTCCCAGGGAAACAACAGAAACAATTGAATGTATCATCCCACTAGGAGAATGCATAAAGAGATCTCAGTGTTATCGGGACCACCAGAATTCCCTGTCCAAAGTCACTGTGGAGCTAGACGCATTGCCCTTCTCGTCCCTTTCAAGTGGCATAGTTCTCACCACCCCACCCTCCTGTCATCGTGGTTACCCTCACCATTGACTGTTTTGAGTGGTGACCAAGGAGTTGGATTAATGGGAATATGATTGATCAAAAGATGGACCAAAGTAGCGTGTTTTACACAAAGCTAAACGGTTCCAAAAAAACGAGGAAAGGAAACTTAGAAAACAAATAATCTAGTAAAGAAACCACCACTGTCAGAAATCAGAAACTGACACCAAAACCTCATGCAGAAACAAGAAGGTTTTTGTTGCTGTCGGGTTTCATCCTTGGTCTATTAAACAAGAGGTGAGCAGCTAACTTTCAAAAAACAAAGAATTCAATCAAACCAATGAAAATCAGAAAAGAAAGGGAAGACAAGCCCAAACAGAATGGCAGAGGGTCCTTCATACGATACCTAAGTTAACCATGAGCTTGACACGCCCTCCATCCAGCTCCAGACGCAGTGTGTCCGCAGAGTCCCTGGAGGTAGTAGCCACCAGGAGCCCATAAGCTCGCTGGGACATGAAACGGAAGGACACATCCTCAGCCTCGGTGTGCATGACCATGGGCATGATGATCTTCATGTACATGCTGCCATCATAGCTCAGGATGGAGGCCTCTGCCAAAGGAGAATGGAAGAAACTGTTAGGGTGAAGAATGCTAGAGTTTCAAATGCCCCTTTGCACCCAAGTCAAGGACAGAGAACATCAGGCGGCTGTGCTTAACTGACACCCTTGAAGCTCTGCTTTCTAATTGTGTGACCTTGGGCAGACCCTTTAAACCATAAGGCTCTATTTCCTCATTTTCAAAGATCTAACTGGCCCTAGATTGCTCACCTGTCAAGAAAACCAAATTAAATAATGGATGGTAAGGTATTTTGCAAAGTGAAAATGCACCCACAAGTGGTAATCGTAATTTTGTAAGTGAAATAACATGCAAAAAACAAAACTTAGAATCACCAAGCTCCAATTTTTTTTTTTTTTGTATTGGGGATCAAATTTGGGTCCTTGTGCTTGCAAGATAGGCAGCAGAAACACTCAGCTAAATCCCCAACCCCTATATTTGAAAGCCTGAGCTGCTGCACAATTTTCAACCCAGGCAACCTGAGGAAATTTTTTTTTTAATACCAGGGATGGAACTCGCGTCCTTGAGCTTGCATGGCAGGTGGCAGAAAAACTGAGCTAAATCCCCAGCCCTCCAAAATATTTTTATGAAAAGTAGGAGAGCAACAGTTTGTAACCACCAGAGCTAACGGATATTTTCCAGAGAGCTGGGACAAACACGGAGCAGCAGCAGGTTGGTATCCATGGTATCCTTGTGACCAGGCACTGTGAGAGGTGCTCAGACCATCCATAGATCAATCAAGCCAGAGTTAGGGTAACAATATAAAGCTGGTAGCGTTCTTGGGAAATGGTTTCACTTTTATGCAAATACAGCTTCTAGAAGGAAGGAAGGAAATCCTTGTATTTGATACATACTTCAGTCCAAGCACTTTGGTAAGGAAACCTCCAACCCTTCCCTCTTGTCTGTTATCTCACAGATATCATACGAATCAATTATTGCAATTTTCTAACAAAGAAACCAAGGTTCTTAGGGGAGTATGTTATCATCTCAAAGTCACACAGCCCAGATTTTTGAACCATTATACTTCATATCAAATCCAGGAGCTGTTTTGCAATATCACGATGCTCAACATGTCTGCTACTTTCATCACCCATTTGGCAAATATCTTCAGGGAACACACTTAGAAAATATTCTATGCAGCCAGTCTGTCACTGAGATCAGTATTTGACACTGAGTGGAGTCTTTATTAAACATTTGCTGTTGACATGTAGTTGCTCCTCGTGCTAAGGAGAATAGACAGGTAAAACAGGCCATTTCTATTCTAAAAGGAGACACAGCAGTACACACGATTTTACTAGAATTTTAAAATGATTACAGATATGGGAGAGACATAAAAGACAGTGACATTCAGAGGACAGAGACTGGATACAGGCGAATAACACAGATAGGGTCGCGTGACCACTTCTGTGAGATGAGTGGGATTTGTAATGAAAGATGGGATAGCTTCAAATTTAACACGCAAATTAGACGCATCTCTGTAACATAAAAAAGGAAATAAGACAGATTTTTTTCAGATAAATACTAACAAAAAGAACATAAGGCATTTGCTTTGGGGAGTAAAAGTAACCTCCTGGATCCACAGGATCCATATCCACAGATTCAACCAAGCACGTATTAAAAGTATTTTTTAAAAAATGCTCTGTACTGAACATATACAGACTGTTTTCTTGTCATTACTTCCTAAACAATACCATGTAACAACTATTTACATAGCATTTACAGTGCATTCAGTATTATAAGCAATCTAGAGATGATCTAAAGTATACAGGAAGATGTGGGTCGGTGATATGCAAACACTACATCATTTATACAAGAGATTTGAGTATTCCTGGAATTTGGTGTTCATGGGTGTCCTAGTGGATACCAAGGGAAGACTTGCCTGAAATTGCCGTTGCATAAAGATAGTATGAATTGGAATAAGGTCATTGGACGTTGGTGGATCCTGGGAAGGTGAGCAGTTGATATTTTCAGAAGATATTGTGATACACTCATTTGTTTGCTGTGTATCAGGCACACTTGTAGGTGCTAAGGATGTAACAGTGAAGAAAAGAGATGAAGGAATCAGGACAAGTAGAGACAAGTGGCAGGCTGACTGCACCCCCATCAAATTTCATAGCCCACCAAAGGTCTATGGAATGTAATATACAGGCACTCATTGAGATTCCTGGAAAGCAACCATCTCTCCATCCCTCCATCCCTGAGGTAAAACTCAGGCTATGCTCTGTCTTACAATTGGCACACCATAAGAGGTTCACAGATAAAAGTGTGGCAGCTTCTGTCTCCATCACAATAAAAGGCATATTATGAAACTCTGTTCTTAGATGAGAAATATAATCTAGGTTTAACACATGCTCCAGATGAGAAAGGAGTGATTTTATCTCCTAGAAGAGCAGAATCAAGAGATTTAAAAAATGCTAGCTAACATTTACTGAGCATTTACTGTTTCCCAGTACTTTCTAGGACTTTACATGAATTAAGAAGCCACTTAAACTTCAAGAAGACCATGAGGAAGACAGTATTATTATATTTTTAATACCAGGTCACACAGCTAGTAAATGGCAGAACTGGGAGCTGAATGCAGTCTGATTTTTGAGACTGTGTGTTTGTTCAACCATCTGTCAAATTGTTAGAAGGCTATGCTAGGAATACATCCATGTTTCCTTTTTCCTTTTTCTTCTACTTTCTCTCTTTTTTGTATGGTACTAGGGATTGAACCCAAGGCCTTTATATTGAACTACATATCTAGCCCCCCTTTTAAATTTGAGACAGGGGCTCATTAAAAGTCTATGTTGCCATGTCTGGACTTGAACTTACAATCCTCCTGCCTCAGCCTCCCAGTGTGCTATTACAGGTGTGCACCTCCATGCTCAACTCACAGGTTTCTAAGCAAAGAGCATATCTACAATGCTTCATGTTAGAGAGTATTCTTCAGTGTGTGTATATATGTACATATACCATTACCTAAACTTATATATTATTTATGAATATACAAATATATATATAAACATAGATAATACATATATTGCTAAATAACGTATTGTCCTAAATATGCATAATTCTCTGTGTGTCTGTGTAATCAGGAGCACCATTAATCACAGTATGTACTTTCTATATGCAACTACGTACAAGTAGACTCCTCTTCAAAAGATACTAGGCTATTGTGACATGAAATGGTTTTAAGCATCTGAATTACATACACCCCAAATTTACTGGCTCTTTTTGTTTCTCTGAGTATGTGCAGTACCAGAACACATGCATAAATGAGTGCATCTTTTTATATCAATATTGGTGGTGTCAAAGAATAAACAGCAGGTGAATATGGAAACTAATGGTTTGAAGTAAAGCACATATCTCAACGCACATCTCTGTGTTTCTATTCTTAACCAAATATTTTAGGGGAATATAATGAAGCAGAAAATTTAATACATGAATGACCTGAAAGAAAATCTGGTCAATTTCTTCACATTAATTCTCTTAAAAGATTCAAAACATGAGGACTATGACTGGAATCCTAATTTTAGGGAGGACATGAGTCTAATAAAGAAAAGTTCCTCAATGTATAAAACCATCAGGTCATTGACTATTGAATGACCACACCAGAGGATGTCAATCTAACAGTGCTTAATTAGTTCCCTTCTTTTGTTCTCACTTTCAGCCCTCACTACCTCCTTTTGTCTTCAGTGAATTTTTTCTAGAATCCTATTTTAATTTATTTAATGATATTTAACAATATATTTTGAGCTACTTTCTTTGTGATAGTACTAAAGGTTACAATATACATCTTAATTTACCAGAATCTATTTCATCTTCATCTTAATTCTAGTAAAACATAAGAACTTTTTTTACAGCACTGGGAATTGAACCTGCTCTACCACTAACCTACACTCCTAGTTCAAATACAGAAGTGTTATTCTTACATTGTTCTCTTACCTACTTTCTTTCTTGTATTATTTATATTTGGTGTGTGCGTGTGTATATATACATATATATATATGTATATATACATACATACACAAACAAAATATGAATATCACAAACAAAATAATACATTGTTATGATATCTTTAGAAACATGTTTTGTTAAGAAGCTAAGAGAAGAATGAGAGCTCAATTATGTTTATGCAGTACTTTATTTTTAAATTACACTAAGTTATTTACCATCTCTGACTCTTCATTTCTTCCTGTGAATTTAAGTTACCATCTGGTATCACTTCCTTTTTCCAGTACAGCATCATTCATTTGGGTTTATTGTCAAGCATATGACAATTCTATATGTTATAGGCACAACAACATAATTTTATAGATATTGTTTTATGCATTTGCATAACAAAAACAAATGTATAATTATAAGATCTTTTATCATTACCTACATAATTACCTCTACTGTAGCTTCTTACATTTTTTTCACATAAAGTCAGATTAATGTCTGCTGTCACTTTCTTTCGGCCTAAAAAAGTTCTTTTAGTAGTTCTTGTAAGGTAAGTATGCTATTAATGATATTTTGCTTTTGTTTATTTTGGGATGTCGTTATTTCATCTTCATATTTGAACAGCAGCTTTTCTTGACTAACAATTTTTTTCCTCCCTCTGGCCTCCATTGTTCCTGAAGAGATGCCAGCTGCTAATCTCACTGTGGTGCCCTTGTATATGCTGATACTTTCCTTTAACCGCTTTCAACATTTTCTATCTTCGGTTTTCAACATTTTTATTATACAATAATATGTCTGGTATAGATTTCTTTGTCTTTACTTACCTAGACTTTGAGCTTTTTGGACATGTAGATGAGTGTTGGTCCCCAAATTCTAGATGTCTTTAGGTTTAATTTAAAAATTTCTTTTGCCCCCCTCTTGTCTTTTATTTTTTCCATTATACCTTTTGGTATACCCCGTGTTTCTCTGAGGGTCTCTTAATCTTCATTAATTTGTTTTCTATTGAAATTGCATAATCTCCATTGATCTGTCTATGAACTTACTGATCCTTCTACTAACTCAAAGCTA